TCCACTGTGTCGGCTGAAGAGGTATACCTGCCCAGAAGACTGGATAAGAGGACAGTGAGGCGGTTAAACTCAGAACATTTCTGAAAAACACAGCATGAGTCTAGGAAAGAGACAAATCTTTATTAGCTGAGTTTTAAATTCAGCCATTGGCCTCTTCAATAGAGCTAAAATAATACAACAGATTCATTTACAGAACATCTCAACTCATCCAGCAGGACAACGTCCAAATCCACTGTTCATGTTCAGCCTCAAACAAAGCTCTGACCCCTGAGATACCCATAGAGGACACCAGGAAAGAGCTTGGAGGAAGGTGAGACCAACAAACATCTGCAGCTCAGAGTTTCTGTGGCACCCGAGAGGTGCGATCATCTTTAAAAAAAAACATAAAAACCAAACAGACTGCGGCGATTGTGAGCAGGGCCTTAAAAAGTTTAATAGATTAAAAGTTCAATAATTTACGTAAAAAGACGAGCTCGCTAAAAGTGTTCAATAAAATAGGTTAAAAGGAAAAAGATAAAAAAAAGATAGATAAAAGAGAAAAGATTAAAAAGAAAGATAAAAATCCAGATGGTGGAGAGCAGCAGAGTCAATGGGGAAGTCTGTTAAAAGACGCGCACTTGGCGGGTATAATGGAGGGCACCGTCCACCCCAGCGCTGGGTCCTCGTTTCGGCACGCTGCGCGTGTGGGCCTCTCCAGCGTAGCTGGCCTGCGAGGTCTCCTCCAACACGCGCCTCTCGCCAGCGTGCCTCTGCGCCTCGCTCCATGACGGGCCTCTCTGCACCCCGCTCCGGTGAGCGTCTCTCCGGCGTGCGTCCTTGCACCTTGCTCCGGTGCGCGTCCCTGCACCTCGCTCGCTCCGGTGCGCGTCTCTCCGGCGCGCTCCTCTCCGGTGCGCGTCTCTCCGGTGCGCGTCTCTCTCTCCGGCGCGCTCCTCTCCGGCGCGCGTCTCCCTCTCCGGTGCGCGTCTCTCTCTCCGGTGCGCGTCTCTCTCTCCGGTGCGCGTCTCTCTCTCCGGTGCGCGTCTCTCTCTCCGGTGCGCGTCTCTCTCTCCGGTGCGCGTCTCTCCACCTCGCTCCGGCGGGCCTCCTGCCGTCAGTCCCCAAGGCTCTCCCGCTGCTTCCCTCTCACTCGCTCCGTCCGGCTCCCTCCAAGATCGGCCTTCCCCAACCAAACCTTCCCATGTCCGGTGTCTGTCTCCCCAACCAAACAGCTGCCTTTTTAAATCAGCGTCCCAGTTGGCACGCTGCTTGGTTGATGGGGAACACCTGTGCCGTTGCTGTGGGCGTGTCCAGGTGTGAGTGGCAATGTGGCCTCCAAACAAAATCCCAAAAAAACATGCAACACACAAAATTAAAAAACAAGCAAACAAGTTCAAAAATAAAGAAAATCAAAATTAGAAAACATGCAACAACTAAACAAAAAGGCCACATTACCACATCCCCCCACACTTTAACAAGGCCCGTCCCGGCCGATCCATAGTCCTGAGAGCACATTCCCATCTGATCTTAAATAAATAAAATCCGTTAAAACATTGCTCACAACCCCGCAGTCCTACCAGCAACGCCAGATTCTGTGGCACCCGAGAGGTGCGATCATCTTTAAAAAAAAACATAAAAACCAAACAGACTGCGGCGATTGTGAGCAGGGCCTTAAAAAGTTTAATAGATTAAAAGTTCAATAATATACGTAAAAAGACGAGCTCGCTAAAAGTGTTCAATAAAATACGTTAAAAGGAAAAAGATAAAAAAAGATAGATAAAAGAGAAAAGATTAAAAAGAAAGATAAAAATCCAGATGGTGGAGAGCAGCAGAGTCAATGGGGAAGTCTGTTAAAAGACGCGCACTTGGCGGGTATAATGGAGGGCACCGTCCACCCCAGCGCTGGGTCCTCGTTTCGGCACGCTGCGCGTGTGGGCCTCTCCAGCGTAGCTGGCCTGCGAGGTCTCCTCCAACACGCGCCTCTCGCCAGCGTGCCTCTGCGCCTCGCTCCATGACGGGCCTCTCTGCACCCCGCTCCGGTGAGCGTCTCTCCGGCGTGCGTCCTTGCACCTTGCTCCGGTGCGCGTCCCTGCACCTCGCTCGCTCCGGTGCGCGTCTCTCCGGCGCGCTCCTCTCCGGTGCGCGTCTCTCTGTCCGGTGCGCGTCTCTCTCTCCGGCGCGCTCCTCTCCGGTGCGCGTCTCCCTCTCCGGTGCGCGTCTCTCTCTCCGGTGCGCGTCTCTCCGGTGCGCGTCTCCCTCTCCGGTGCGCGTCTCTCTCTCCGGTGCGCGTCTCCCTCTCCGGTGCGCGTCTCTCTCTCCGGTGCGCGTCTCTCCGGTGCGCGTCTCTCTCTCCGGTGCGCGTCTCTCTCTCCGGCGCGCTCCTCTCCGGCGCGCGTCTCCCTCTCCGGTGCGCGTCTCTCTCTCCGGTGCGCGTCTCTCTCTCCGGTGCGCGTCTCTCTCTCCGGTGCGCGTCTCTCTCTCCGGTGCGCGTCTCTCTCTCCGGTGCGCGTCTCTCCACCTCGCTCCGGCGGGCCTCCTGCCGTCAGTCCCCAAGGCTCTCCCGCTGCTTCCCTCTCACTCGCTCCGTCCGGCTCCCTCCAAGATCGGCCTTCCCCAACCAAACCTTCCCATGTCCGGTGTCTGTCTCCCCAACCAAACAGCTGCCTTTTTAAATCAGCGTCCCAGTTGGCACGCTGCTTGGTTGATGGGGAACACCTGTGCCGTTGCTGTGGGCGTGTCCAGGTGTGAGTGGCAATGTGGCCTCCAAACAAAATCCCAAAAAAACATGCAACACACAAAATTAAAAAACAAGCAAACAAGTTCAAAAATAAAGAAAATCAAAATTAGAAAACATGCAACAACTAAACAAAAAGGCCACATTACCACATTTCTATGGAAAGTTGGAGGCTGCTGGGTCTGCTCCCCCAGTTAATCAGTGACTGCCCTCTGGCAGATAGAGACAAAACAGAGAAACGCTGCTGCTCTGAAGGCAGCGGCTGGAGGAGGGGAGCAGAGCTTGGACCTTAGAGAGCAGCCGGAAAAAAATGATGGTTTGGAAAAAGTGGAGCATCCAGGAAATACCCCCAGCATACTGCTATGACACAGAAACAGGCTGCAGATGATTCAGTTCTGAGCAGGGCCTCGTCTAAAACAGGGGCGGATTTAGGAAATTTGGGGTTACGCAAAGACAGGCAGGGGGCCCTCTGAATTGAGAAGACAACACATTCAGGGTTCGTACACCTTTTCCAAAGTCAAAATCAAGCACTTTTCAAGCACCTTCAAGATCTGTTTTAAAACGTTTTCCAGCACCTTACAGAACCAGTTTTGCGCGGATGACTGCCGGGGGTGGGGGGGTTCGAAATGAATACATAAAACTAAATCCTATCCTAATTTGTCAGAGCACAACCTAACCAACCAGAGGGTGTCGCAATTCAGTATTATCAGCCGTAGAGTTATCAATGCTGTTTTAAGGTCTGGACCTGGCAATTAATTAAAACTTCGTTGTTTTTTTTTTGTGTTTTTTTTTGGAACGTTGGCGAGGCGGTACCGTGAGTTTGGCGAGGCGGCCGCCTCGCCAAGATACTGCTGCAGGAAACACTGCAATGCAAACATTATATTATTACACCGTACTCTCAGTCACTCAGTAACTTAGCCTGTAAATTCCTAGCTAGCAGTTACTAGCGTCAACGAATAGGCGCTAATGTTAACGTGTACCAGGCTACTTCAGTTGGCTTACTTAAAAGCAGTGTTGGGCAAGCTACTTGTCCAGTGTAGTGAGCTAAGCTATCAGTCACTCAACAACAAATTAAGCTTCACTACACCAAAGCTACCACCTAAAGAATTATAGCAAGCTAAGTTACACTAATGTGTTAAAAGTAGCTTAACTACATCAGAAGCTACTTAATGTTGTACCAACCTAATATCAATTCAAAATGAGTCTGACACACTGGTTAAAATATTTTTTAAAGATCAGCCAATGACATATCACACTGTAAACATTGCTTTATGATCACTAGTAGAATTACTAGTAGAAAAACTAGTAAACAATCTGCTGTTATTAGAACCAAATTAAAGGTACTGTGTAATGTTCTACACATGGAGACATGGCTATGAGTTTGCATTCAATGGACATCTCTAGGGAAAACAAAACCCTACAAAAGGCATCTTATTTCTTTAGGGTCTCCCTTAGAGAAAACTTCTTCCGACCTCAATTAAACAGTCGATTCAAGGAACAAATGAAACTGTTTAAAGAAGGTGAAAAAATAAAGAAGCTAATTAAGAGATACATATATTTATGTCTCACTGTATAATTTAATATCTACCTACATATTTATTCAATGTATTTTTGGGTGCAATTAATTGAATGCTTATTTATTTATTGAGCATTTATTTATATATGTATTTTTTTTTATACATGGGAGAGCTGTTCCTCCATAAATAAAAAATCTTATCTGTGCAAATAAGCCTTAAAACATTTGAACACATACTTTTTATCAGAGGATTCAACAAGTTTCATCATCTCTGAAGATAAGGCCACGGTGTGGTAGGGACAGTTGGCTGCTCTTCTCGCTCTGCTCCTGTCTCCTCCTCCATCCTGTGTCTGCGGGCATGCGCAAATTTGGTAGACACAGACAGGAGAGGCAGAATAGGGGCTCATGCGTGAATGTCCAGCGAATAACTCCGATTGTTGTTTCAAAAATAGAAAACCTGGTTTCATTACTTAGTTATGCCCTGGATTTTGTAGCGTTTGTGGACGCTACGTCGCTACTTGATAAAAACAATAACGTCACTACTGGAAAGTTACTTGATAAATAAAGCAGCGACGCTACGGTCAAGCTACTGGAAAATGTAGTTAAACTAATAGCTTTGCTACATGTAGCGGTGCTACTGCCCATCACTGTGTAATACAGACCTCTGCAGAAGATTCTTCCTGCCTACAGTATTAACCTTTACAAACTGGTTAAAAACTCTCACAGTATGAGAGTTTCAACCTTCAATAAAGTATTTCTGAACTCAGTTGATTCGGCAACAAGAGATTCTTTATTCACATATTAGAACAGAAAACTACTCTATTCTTTATGCAACCTTTAGTGACGTTTTGGGAACAACAACAAACAACTAGTTTCACATATTTCTTTACAAGAGTGATACAATTGTATGATAAGTATTATTAAATTAAAGAGGCACAAAGAATGAACAGGATATTATCCTATGGCAGCTGAGAGGCTTTGGGAAATCCAAAAAAGTTAAATGTAGAAGAAAAGAAGAGGAAGAGGCAAAAAGTGAAAGTTCTGACAGTTTTAACCTTTTCTGCTGCAATAGGGATGAACAGAAACAATGACAAGGTTTAAAGAGTTGAATTTAGTGAGCAATTTGTTTTTTTATATTAGAAAACATAACAGGATGATAATGGATGCATGAACTGAAAAAAGAAAGATCCGTTGTAAATGTTTATTTGCATCATCACATAATCATTGGTATTATATCTAAAATGTGATTCTATTGAGTTTGAACTTGGACAAAGGAGATGACTGTGGATTTCAGTAGGGGTCAGAGGGGTCAGGATAACCATATCCCAGACAGGGACCTGAAAAGCTGGACCTGATGATGGAGAGCTGGTGCTGACCTGGGACTGTCTGGACCACTTTATAGAAAGAATCACCTGATGGAGAACCCTTCTCTTCTCAGACTGTATCTGCACTCATAAGGCTTTTAATCTTCACCAAGTCTTAGGTTTTAACTCATGGCTTACAACACTTTGAAAATGTACAAAAAAATAGAGCTAACTATAACTGTTTTCATGTCTCAGACACTTCAAAGTTTTTTACAGATGTAACATTCAGTGTAAAACAATATACAGAAAAAAAAGGGCCTTCAAAGTAAGAGTTTGAGGTCACGAAGAGATGAATTGTTGCATGTTCACAGACATTTAAGGTCAGTGTTTTATAATTAGAAGTTTGTCTTTGCAGGGAGCAGTAGGTGAATCCATCGGGGCCTCCACTGTCTTCAGGCGGCTGCCTAGTCTGCAGGAGAGTCAGAGGGAGAAGAAAGAAGTTTAATTGATTATGTAAGCAGAGAACTAGAGACTTGTCTAATCTGGATTAAGCCTGCTGTTGTTTTGTTAAATCCAGACCAAACTGCATGCTTCACATCCACATTTCAAAACTAGATCATATTTAGTTTTCTTTATGTTTAGCTCTCCAAAAACGGCATGTTCTGTAGTTCACATTCTGGGATCTACAGGTATAGGAGGACATATTTTATTTATGACTGCTTTAAACAACAGGATGATCCCAGATGTTTTAGCCTAAAACAGCCCATTGTGTGATATGTATGACTGAATCATTTCATATTATTTTAAGGCAGATTTAGCAGAAATAAAAATTGTAAAGCTGTACTTTTATGTCTGATATGAGACACTGGGATGTTATGTGACTAAACCCAGAGCCCGCAGCCTATTAGGCAACCAGGTGGACATATGACCAGTTACGGCATTGGTGAGGCTGAGCTGAGATAAAAAGGTTGTGTGATTCTCTCGCCCATAATAATTCAATAATGCTGATGATGACAGCGCAGAGATACAGGATCTCACAGAAGTTTGCTATCAGCTATAGACACTGGGGCTACGAATTCATACTCATCTGTTGAATTTGTATTTAATAAGGTATTAAATCTAGAGGTGTGTAACTTAAGAAATGTAAATCCCTTTATTGTCCCACAATGATGAAATACCCTCTCTGCATTTAACCCGTCCCCTTGGGGATAGGGGTGTAAATAACATCCATCATGGCGATTTGGATTCAGTATCGATTTCCTGACCCAACGATTCGATTATTTTCGGTACTCAAGAATACACCATGATATGATTCAATTAATTGGTTCATTTATTTTTTTTACACTTTACAGGCTAGACAATGTTTCAAATTTGAAATAAATCAATGAAAGCTGTAATATCGTTATGCATTTTTTTTTTAGAAACAATAGTAAATAACCACCTATTCCTATTAAAACCTCATTCACTGAAAAATAATAATCCCCCTGCGTTATAGATTCTGAAAGGCCTTGCATCAGAAAATACTGCACAGAATCAGTGCAATGAGTGCAATGCAATACCTCGGCTCCAGACGTCCCGCCCCCTCCACAGACGCTCCGCTGCTCCTCTCCCAAATTGTAGCTGACCACAGACAGCGCCGCAAACAGTGCCGGCTTGTCTTGTTTTTATACCCGAAATTGCGGAGTAGAACGCTGTGAGCCATTTTACACTTGGATCTCCATCTTTTTGGCCCTCATGTCCCTCTGTTGTCGGACTAAACTCGCCCCCACTTCCTCGCCGCCTCGGCCGTATCTAGACCCACAGCGTGTAGCACAGACCATGATTCAATATTGGGCATTAATCAAAAATGTTGTGTCAAGCTCACTGCGACACACTGCTGTAAGAGTATAACCAGGAAGCGAGGTAGGAGGGCAAAATAGGTTTAGCGCCACCGCAGCACGGGAGGGAGAATTACGTCCAATGGATAAAAATAGACCGGAGGGAAAAACAAAACATGAATCGATTCTCTTGCGGACGTATTGATGCATCGGATCGTCGGCTGTTGGATCGATGCATCGATACAAGACAATTATTATTTACACCCCTACTTGGGGAGCAGTGGGCTGCAGTGGGCTGCCATTGTGCGGCGCCCGGGGAGCAGTGTAAGGTTAATGATAGTCTGTGGGGATCAAATCAGGTACTTGCAACCTTCTCGGAGCATTGCTCACTGCTCTACCAATAGGGCGATGAATGCTGAACACTGTATGTTAATGCCAACACCCCATTGCAGTAATGCCTGTATTTCTGTGCTGTCATCAGCAAACTTCAGGGTGACTTTGTCCCTATGGAGGCGACAAAGTCATGTGTGAACAGGGAGTAAAGGATGGGACCTGGGTCGATGTTTTACTACTAATCCTGATAGACTGGGACCTCCAAGTCATAAAGACCCATAGCAGTAGAGCGGAGACAGTGGAACGTTTGTGGATATGTTTTGGAAGCAGAATTAAATGTATGAAATGAGGTGAAGACATCAGCCAGCTGGCAACACGTCCTCTGATGACAAGGCCAGGGATTCTGGTATTGCTGCATCATGCGGTTCTTTCTCTTTACTCTCTCAGACATGCTGGTTTGGATTTTTTTTTTTTACCGAACTGCATGGTTGAGCACTTTGGGTTATTGCTGAGAACCCAATTTGCTAGGTGATTTCTGCATGGAGCTGTTAGCTGTTGAGTTGTAATTTCCATACTAGGTTGTTGGTTGGACTACCCACCATCTTGGGTTGATGTTTGAGCATGAGCAACACAGCACCACCCACTAACTGGATTTAAACAACATCTGATGAGACGAGACTGAACATATTCAATTTATACAAAGCAAGGTTTCTGACTCAGCTTTTTTCTTACCATATAGTTAATTTTATATTATTAAATGCCGTTCGGTATCAGAAAGTATTTACAACAATTTTTTAACTGAACTTTTGATAAAAGGCAACATCCGGACACCAACTTTTGCCTGGTTTGTTTTTTATGTCCCACCACAACTATAAGCCAAAGGTTATAATTCTCTTTTTCAGAGGACCACTAATGAGTCATTGTTGTGAGGATGCACCCTTCCTATGTCCAGTAAGGGTGACGTCAAGGAGAACGTGTGTAGACTGTATCTAAGAGGTCATTGTTAGTCAACGTTATACAGCACTAAAAATATATTTGATCTTTTAGAAAAAATGAAGACATTCGTTATCAGAGAATCAGACAAAAAAGGTGAGGTGAGGAAGTTGCATCGTCTCTGTTTATGTACTGAAACATGTAGCTCTTAAAATATCACTATAAAAGTTTTTTTTTTAAATAATCTTTTGTTCCAGAGATCTCTGGAACAAATGCGTCCCATCAGTGCAAGTCCAAGTATGGATACCTCCAAACTTCCTCCCGTCACCTTCGTAGGATGGTAATCAGTGTCAAAAGTGATTCAATTAAAAGTATTAACATGTATTCACATATCGATTGCATTAACATTGTCTAAAGATTGCAAACACCGGTTTCTACATAAAGCCTCCATGTAGCATCCTACGTTGTTTCCTCGCCTGGAGAACTTTGATACTGAACAGACATTTTTAGCTGCAAGCAAAAGTAACACACCTCACTCTCTGTGAGGTTGCTCAAAGACTCTTATAGGTGTGAACTGAGACAATCTGTATTTGATGTGCTGTTTGCCCCTCTATGCCTGTCTGGAGGCAGGTGAGGAATCAAAGAACAGTACTATACTGTACTATCTCTGTACTTGGATGGCTCCATACTCATCAGCTTTGTCCTCACCTCACTCTCTGATTGAAATGCAGTCATGAACTTGAGTTGTTATCCAGGGGTTCATAGGGTTACTTCTGGACAAATATGGTGGGTGCAATACTATAAATACAAGAGCTAATGCTCCCAGTCAAACAATCAGCGTGGTCCTGTATGTTGGCAGAGGAAGTCTCCAAGGTGGAGGTAGCTCTAACACATCCCAGTCTGTCACAGGAAAGCAGCCTTAAAGGATGCTTTCAATGTCTTAGTTCCTAAGTTGTATGACTGGGTTTGCCTGTTCCTCCTTTGTAAGTGAGATACATAAAGAGAGCTATGTGGTGTGGTGTCCACAATGAGGGTGGGGGGAGGTGACCCGTTGACATGCAAGATTATGAGCGCATAATGTGTGAACAGTTAAAAGTTTAGAGAAGGTGAGTTCTAACTTTATGTTGCTGTGCACAGGTCAACTTTAGTTGATTTAGTTGCCTGTTAAGGTGCATTCCCATCAAAGGCAGCGTTTAAGGGAACTATATCCAATGCTATAGATTTTTCTTATTTTCTTATCTTTCTTGTTTTAAATGTAAATTGTCTTGTTCAAATTGAAAATTTGCCTCATTTACCTCTTCAATTCAAGAAACTGCACTTATTCTAAGAAAAAATTGACCAATTTAGATTTCAGTTTTTTGCAGTGTCTTTCTTGTTATTGAAACTAATGCGCCACTTTTTCACCTGTTACACCTGAACACCAGTTGTGTATATGTAATTAGAATATGTTCTGGATTGTACTCACCATTACTTTTCTATAGACGGTTCATCTTTCTGGGTATGTTGGGATAACAAATGGCCAGCTCTTTCATACTCTGAATAAGAAGTCATCCCAGGCCTCTGTTCTGACTGAGTGCGAGAAGTTGGGTTGTCTCTTCCTCTTGTCCAAAGCCTGCCCCGCTGTATCTCTCCACATTTTCTGGGAAGCACTGCACTTCCAGGGGGCTGGGTGGTTTGAGGACTTTGCAACTCATTTTTACAGAAGACCGAGCGAGCCTCATGGAAGGACAGAGATGGAACGATCTGCTCTGTGTTGTTATTATTTACACATGTAGCTGTTGTAGGGGAAGAGGGCCGAGAGTTGGAATATGGTCTGAACATAGGTGGTCTTGCAAAGCCGTGGTACACAGAATGACAAGCTTGAGTCAAACGAACTCTTGAAACAGGCGGTGCTATGACAGGCAGCTTAACAGAGGCCATCTCAGATTCCAACATTGTTTTTCTGTCACAACTTTGGCCATTTGTAACTTGAAGGGCTGTTAAATCTCCTGTGGGCGTATTCTTAGTGTCAGTTGATTCTCCTGTATTGCATATATGAATAATCTTTCTGGCTTGCTTGTAAAGCACTTTGGTTTCCTCAGGTTTTTCAAGGTTCACCTTTTGCAGCTGTGGAATCTCAGTGGGTCCATTCTTTCTAATAGGAGGAGCAGGTGATGCAGCTATTGACTTTAGTTTTACATTCACTTTGTTTGGCAAAACTTCCATCTTTTGCATAACTTTCTTCCTTCGCTGGGTTTGAGGGTGTATCAGTGGGAGACTAAGACCTGGATCTCCACATAGCTTTTCAGTTTGCAGTTGTCCTTCATGATACTTAAAGGAATTGTCCAATAGAACTTCTGGGGGTGGAGGTGGTAGATTATCAATCTCCAGGTCATCCCTGCAATCTGTGCAGCTCCTGCTGGCGTTGCCAGTGTCCTCTCCTTTACTATGTCCTATGTTATACACAGAACCCTTTTTATTGAGCCCATCCATACCTTGGCTAAATGCTTGGCTATATGAGTGGCACTTTACTGGTTGAATAAGTGGTAACTGTGAAGGAGTTAATGAGCATGGTGGCTTCTTTCTTCTCCCTCGGCTTTTGTGAAAATCAACTGATGCATTTAAAGAATGTCTTCTAAGTCCAGGTTGAGACCAAGTGGAGTCTTTTGGTTGTTGCATTTCAGAAATCTTTTTCATTTTTATATCTAATTCTCTTTGACTCCTTTGCAGCTCTATTAACACGTTCGCACAGCTGCTGGATGAGTCATTTTCAGCTTTGCAGTGAACATTGCAGCTTTCAGTAAAACGTTTCTTAAAGGTAGGCTGCTGATTTTTCATATCGTTTGCACACATGTAGCAAAGCGCATTGCAGGGATCTGGTGGAGAGGACCTTGATCTCCTCCTCTCACACCGATCATCATCATCATCATCATCATCATCATGATGATCATCATCATCATCATCATCATCATCATCATCATCATCATCCCCATATTTGTCAGCATTCCCTTCCTCCTCTTCTTCATCATCTTTATTATATGTAACAAACTTAGCCAAATCATTGTGATAATGTCCAAACACACCCCAAACATCGACAATAGATTTGCAGCTCCCAGATCCAGCACTACCACGGTGGCATTGGTGCCTTTCTGAGCCAGCCAAGCTCTCACTCTCTCCCCCAATTCCACTGTCTTCACTGGGAAGTGCTGAATCTTTTGGGTTAGACGTTTTAATTGCTGACATTTCTATTCTTGCGAGTACTTGAGACAACCTAAGCTCTGCAGCCTGCTTAGTCTGTAGCTTCTCAGCAAATAGTTTAGAAAGGCAAGAGAAATATTCTATGACTTCATCAAGTGCAGTATCACCCAAATTCTTTACTGAGCCTCCAACTCGCTTCATTTTTTCTGATGATTGCTGAAGCAATTGTTGTAAAAGATCTGGGGGAGGATCAACAAGATCTGCTAAAGTATTGGAAGGTTTATCTGACCGTAGAGCTTGACTTACCATCCCAGATGGTAAGCTCATGCTTTCTCCATACTCTTTAAGCATCAGCTCACCCTCTTCAGCCATCTCCTCCAGTGCCTGGTTGATTTCCTCAAAGTACAAAACCAAAGCAGCCATTATGGGCTGGATGGACAGTTTAGTCTGAGTCGCCTGGTCTAGCAGCCCCAGGAGCGTTTCATATTTGGTGATGTTTGGGTTCAGGAAACCATAAGCTGCCTGGTGAGCCCTCACCATATGTGGTAGAAAGTCCGCTTTTGTTTGGATAGAAGAAGACTTTCTGTGCCTATCTGTAGATCTTCTCCTCATGTTCTTCTTTTGGATCTCCACTCTCTGAATCATATGTTCTTGTAGAGCATCTGCAATTATTTCCTGGGGCATTTCATTTACCCTGACTTCCTGATTATTAATTGTATTCTGAGGAAACATTGGGCGGGAGTCTTGCCGAGCCATGAGAGTTTCTTGTGAACAGTTCTTGTCAGAGTATCGTGGCGTTTCCTTTTCCTTTTTTTGAAAATTTAAACAGGTATCCTCCACCATTGCAGGACCAGAGTCCACACTGTCCTGTGAGGATTCATCTACCAGAGCCTCCTGCTTTCCAAAAGAATTTGGTTTTAAAAGAAACTTTCCTTTTGAAGGAGAGCAGCCCATTTTCAAAAACCAAGTGTTAGCAAAAAGAGAAAACCTGCTCTCACCTGTATTTCCTAAAAAGAAAGTTCCTCTGTCCTTTTTATTTTTTTTCTCTCAGCATCCAGTAGTCCACTGTGCTGTAAATATGCATCAAGCACAGCGATGGAAGTGACTGGCAGCATCTATGAAGGAGTGTAGAGGATAAGCATATTGTGCAGATGGTCACAGTAAGAGCATTAAGTACTCTTAGAGATACGCAAATACACACACACCCACACCTGGTTATTTTTATCTAAGATGTTAAGCTCATCAGCTTAATCAGTCAGGTTTAGCTTCATCTACAGGGCTGCTAGTAAATCTGGGTCTGGTTAATACATGAATATAGCCAAAGATACATTTCAGCAAAGCCAGTTGTTTTTCTGTCAGTGGTATGTGTTTCTATCAACTGTTTCATCAGCATTGTTTTCTAAATTATAGAGACACAGTTTTCTTCAGAGTTTTTTAACCTAGAAGGAGACAATAAAGTAATAGGAGCTGACATGAAGACCCTGGCGGACAACATAGAGCTGAGCATTGCTGATGATGATCATTTGGGCAGATTTATCATACTGGAGATATCTCCCTGTGGCCTGGACACTGCTGGGGCACTGGAAGATGACAGAGGAAAGGAGCTAAACTGAGGAGCAGATACAGCTGGTGGGAGGTTGGAACTTGACCCCAATTAAGCTGCTTATAAAAGATATACTTGGATCTCCTAATGGCTCTTAAGGAGGTATTAAGAGCAAGATTGGCAGAGGTAGATTTGTATGATGTTCTAGTGTAAATGTGCAAGTAAGACTTGACCAGTCTTTGAGATAGAACACACAAAGAGACTTCATATCAAAATTGATCTGTGAAGATCCTCAGTAATCAGTCAACAGAAGTTCAGTTTATGCACTCTAACTAGTGGTAGGGAGCATTCAGACTACATCCCTGAGATTTAACTTCACCACTTGTTAGGGCTGAAGAGGCCTCTGGGATGAAAGGAGAAAATACTATTCACCTGCCACTATCAATGGGACATATGTATTTTCAATAATGCTATAGCTTAAAAAATGACTTAAATCTTGGTAATTCGGATTACTACAAGCCACTCAGTAAAGACAGATGGGCACATGAATAAACAATTAAAAACGTAAATGGAAATACCTAGAAAACTCCTCCATGGATGGAGGGATGGTTGGATGGATGGATGATTGATAGATAGATGATGGACAAATGATAGTCGGATGGTAGGATGGATGATTGATGGATGGATGATTTACGGATGGATGGTGGATGGATGGTAGGATGGATCTGTTTGACTAAACAATTTTTAAGTATTCCACTGTTTGTCTTGCCTGAATTTTGAGTCCTCCTTTCTGAGCCATTAAATAATAATCTGGGCAAACATGGAGCCATCGGCAGACAGTGGTGTTCAGAGATTCTAGGAGATTCTAGATTACCAGCATTATCAGTCTATCTCCACTTTCACTCTACCGCTTTTGACAGCTGCCATGCCTTTGATAGATCAGCTAGTTTTGGATCCACTCTTTCCCCTCTTGAACTGTTTTAGGGTGATTCAGTCGGGCCTTCTTCACGCAATGTGAAATTCACTTTAAACTTTTAACAACCCTCTGCGTTTACCCCTATAGATCTAAAGTGGCTTACTTAATCTCTCTGTTAATGGACAAGGCTAAATTGTGGGAACTTCAGAGTGGCTAAACAATCCCGTCCTGTGTAATTCTTATGATTTTTCTGAGGAACTAATCAGAGTTTTTTGCCTATTTCTTCTTCGTGGGGAAGCTCCCAGGAGACATCTGTCACTAAGGCAGGGTGAACGATCCGTGATGGACTATATCACTGACTTGTTATCCACAGAAAGTACCTGGAATGACGAAGCCCTAATGGATGTTTTCTTTTTTTGGATTTAATGAAAAGTTTAAGGATGAGCTTTCAACCTGTAACTATCCCCCGACTCTGAGGCAGCTGGAGGACCTTGCCGACAGGAAAGACTGTTTCCTCAAAGACGTTGCAGAGAATGGAGAGGTGGCAGGTGATCAATAGTAGAACAACCCCACCAAGGCTGGAAACTGAACAGTACTTGAAAGACATATGGGAGAAGAAGGCAGCATACAACATGGATGCACAGTGATCGGTGGCTCTGAGGACCGCAGCAACCTCCCTGAACAGAATCCAGTCAACATCACAGTGGCAGACATCCAACAAAGAGTCTCAGGTATGAAAAACTGGACAGCACCAGGCCCTGACATGATACACGCCTAATGGCTTAAGAGGTAACAAGGAAAGTGGCTACGGCCAAATACCTCCAACGAGTAAGGCAGATCCTAAGGAGCCGGCACAATGGGAAGAATAAGTCTCAGGCAATAAATGGCTATACTAGCTGGCTAAAGGAGGAGGTACAGGCCACAATGTTAAGCCATGAAAGCTCCTAACCATGCACAGAGGGTACCACCCCAAATCCAGCACCCTGAGACTGTACGCTAGCCATAAGGATGGTGGCCAAGGACTGAGGACTGGAATCAGCTAAACTTTTGATATCCCTGTGAAGCGTAGTTTGAGCTTCACCCGCTTCACCACGGTTGATACCACAGCGGACCTCACGTGGTGCTGTTCAGATACCTGCTGCATCTGGTAAGAGTTGTTTTAGCTCAGCTACGATGCAATAAAAGGAGAAAAAAAAGAACTACGAGTTTTATCCGACACAATAAGGAAATGGCATTTATTACTTAATTGTTTTGAGTATTTGCATCCTGTTTGAATATGTAGGAGCCAACGTCTGAAATGTTGAATGAAACATTGAAAAATGTGAACAAACTATACTGTAAACAATATAATAGACAAAATTGTTGTATCATGACACAGCTTTTTCTGAGTGTTGTTCAAATACTCGGTACTTAAAATGGACAAGAGCATGTATGTCAGTTTCAGACAAGTTCCCATTCCTGCCAGCAGTAAAATCATTATTTTCAGGTTTCCATTCATTTTTAAAAGTGATTTCATTTTAAATATTTGTGTGTAATTCTCTCTGTGTGTGTTTGTGCTAGGATCCAGCTGACCAGGACATGTACAGCCAAACTGCAGTGGTAATCCTTTGTGTTGATGAAGAACGTCTTCAGCTGAACGCAGCCAGAGTGGGGATCATCTTGGAAGGGAGTGTGGTGATGGATGACTTGGCCAACCTTCCTCTTGCGTTCTGCCTCCTTTTTGGACTGACATACGCACTGCACCTGGATCATCTTAGGTACATGAAAAACACTTTCCTCTTTGTCCAACAGGTGATGCTAAGCATGGGTAAAAGTGAGCTGTCACCCAAAATCCAGTCTCTGAAAAATCACCTCTCAGTGTAAAATGGGATTCCAAGTCCAGTAATTATTTTACAGTTCCTGATGCCATGTGCTTAGTTTTTAATGTTGCACTGTTTGCACTTTGTCAAATGGCATTAACACTGACATTCAGAAAGAATAGGGGTTTATTTACCCAGGTCCACTTCAAGCACTAAGTAAACCGCTTACTATTAGTTGTGTAATCTTGAGGTTAATTAGAATGTTTCTGTTGTATTGGGAGATGACAGCTTTAAGATTTTGGAATGTTTTAGATTTCTGTTAGGTCCAGAAGAGTTCAACTTTCTAGAAATTTACATTTCTGATCAAAGTAAGATAAAAAAAAATGTTCTGATCAAACAATGCTTAGTTCATGAGCAAAGGTTGTATGACCATTGAACATTAACAATTTGGGGAAAAAATATGGCCAAAATGATTCCATTTTCTAGTGTAGTTTTCATTCACAAATATTGAATGCTGTTGTTAACTCAGTATATGGATTATAAACTTTTGTTTATCTGTTTTGCTCAGTTCACATAAAGCAGACTGTGGTTTAAGTTGGGCTGATTAATAACCATCTCAGGAATGTCTTTCAATATTTAGAAAAAATCAATCTTTTGAAAGAGAATTTAAAGATAGGTCATGTTCTTTGACTTTACATGTCGGCTGAAACAATAAGCGATTGGCTGAAATTTAAATAAAAAAAAAATATAATATTGTCTGATTTTCTTTTTCATAAAAAGGTTTCCATGTAACAAAGATTTAATCAAAAGTGTGCATTTTCCCAAAGGTGTTTTTAGAAATCATTTTAAGTAACATCAACTTGTAAATTAGAGGGTTGTCCTTAAGACTATTTCAGTGAATTGAAAAGTTTATGTGAAATAGACTCCAGTTATCATAATGGTTTACTTAAAAAAATTGAGGAAACTGGTTGCCTTAAAAAATTTAAGTAATCTCAAATTATCTAGGTTTGGAATGAACTTAAAATAGCTATTTCTCTGAAATTAAAAGTTGAAGTGAAATACACTCAAGTTTTTATCATGCATTACTGAAAATTTTTAAGGCAAACGGTTTCCTCAAATTTTTTAAGTAATCTCAACTTATCCGGGCTTAGAGTGTACGGCTGCATAGCTGAATAATACCAGGCCCTTTACATTCCTTGGCCAAATGGCTGTAACTTGAAATACAAATGATAAGATATACATTTTCTAACAATTCCCTCCTGTTTATCATTATATTTACAATTGAAGCATAACTTTAACCTACCGTATTTCACCACTATAAGGCGCATATAAACGTCTTTTTTTTTCCCTCAAAATGTGCGGTGCGCCCTATGTGTGTTGTTACTGCGGACGTTGTTTAGACCACCATGAGAACGTTAAAGGGGGAAGTGTGGGCGAGGATTGTGTATAAAAGAACAGGTATGTGCTTTATGCAGAACAAAGAGTGGCTGAGGGAGGTGTATGTGAGGAGACCAGGTGTTTTTTTCCACGCATCACCATCGCTGTTAATCTGTGACTCCATGCGTGCCCATCTCACAGCCGATGTGAAAAACATGGTGAAACAAATGAACGCTGTGCTTGCTGTTACTCTGGGGGGTGTGACAAAGGAACTTCAACCGCTCGACATCGGTGTGAACCGGCCGTTCAAAGTAATGCTACGTTCACACCGGACGCAGCAGGAGCAGCAAAATCGCGTTTTATTACCTATTGTCTAAAAACAGAAATAGACATCAACTCTCTTTTTTAGTTAACGTATTTTTTTATTTAAGTTTTAAAACAACCTTTAATAAAACATTGGGAATAGTTTCGTTAAACCAGTTTAGCCAGAAGAAAAAAG